CTGAGGGCGGGCGGGCCCAGGCGCCTGTGCCAGCCGAGATCCAGCCAGCGGCGGAAGGCCGGAGCCAGCGCCTGTGCGGCACCTCGAGCGTGGGGCCGGAGCCAGGAGCGGTGTCTCCGTGCCTTAATAATCCGTCACGGGTTTGAGTTCTCCCCACCAACCCTGTAAATTTATGCATACGCGGCGTCCTGTGGCAGGGAGGTCTATTGTGAAGTTAGATGGTGTTTGAGCAATAACTTCCTCTTTCTTCTCTTACTTGATCTCTTCTAATTTATTCCACCATCCTTCAGTTTCACACTGGATGAGACTGAAAAAGTTGCTGTAGTAGATCTGTGCTTACGTGTATACTAGTGGTCTTGTAGCTGTGGTGGCCTAGAGGACAAAGCCGGGCATCTAAACAATGGTATTTTTTCCTGCAGTGGTCGTAGCTGCTCAGATTAAAAAGTAGACAAGTTTTTGTCTTTCTCTTTTCCCTAGGAGATAATGACTTCTTAATCTCTCTTCCTCTCTCTGACATCCCCTCTACTCCACAGGTACCAATTGTCTTTTCTCTTAGTTGTTTATCTAAGCTTGAGGAACTTTCTTCAAGTTCCATTTAGCTCTTGTATTTACTGCCTCAGTTTCAAACCAAAGTATGTTTTGTGCCTGAAAACTTGCCTGTCCACAGAAATACCTTGGAAATGTCTTCCAGGCATGTTCTTAAATTATGTGGGTTACCAACCGGTGTTCTGTTGTTATTCCAAAATGTGATTGTTTAACAAATATTAATAGAGCACTACTGTGTTCTGATTCAACAGCATGTCTATAGTAACAGTGTGTAGTCTGTTAATATCTCATCTTAAAAAAAAAAAAATTAAAACTCTACCCAAAGCCTGTTTCTCAATAGGATTGTTATTTTTCTAACAAGAAGTCAACACAAACTTTAACCGACCTAAAAATTCATGTTGCACAGGTTAAAACTCCCAAACAATGACTCTGGGACTCCCTGGAAAGGAGGGGTTCCTGAAACTTAATCCAGGCTATGTTAGTTTTCCTTTCAAAGTTGAGATGATGGCTGTGTATTGATAGATGAAAAATACTGAGTGTTAATTATGTCACAAGAGGGATAGAAGTTACTGACCTAGCATGAGTTTTTGTTACTTGGTTTGGGGGGGAGATACATAGAGGGAAATCCCTTATTATAATTTAAAAAGAAAAAAAATCCTCCACTTCGTTACTGAATTCCATGAGCTGTATAGATCTCTTATTGTTAAAAAAATGGGTGTATAGCTGCAGTTTTACCATTTTCAATTTCAAGAGCTTCTTGGTTCTTGCTTCTTTTCAGCTTAACTATGGTTTGTGACACGGTTCTCTTTCAGCAAGAAAGGAAAATCTTATCCTACAGATAATTTCATGTGGCTCTGAGACTTTATTTTGTACTCAATTTGCAAAACCCTCATTCATCATATAAAATTACATATTTTGATGCTGAAGTTTTCTGTAAGCAGAATTTTGCAAATGGAGAAAAGGGGTTTTGTTTACTGCTAGCATTAGATCATCTAACTTCAGTAGTTTACTAACTTGCTGGTAGAAGTGACTGTGAAATGGAGCAAGGACACTGGCTGCATAAGATTTTGCTCCTATTCTAAGTGTTTTTTGTTAAATACAGCTGGTGTGCTTCGGTTTGCCAGATCTGTGTCAGTTCTTTTGCAGAGCGTTAGCTGTGCCTCTGCAACTTACTCAGCTGGAAGAAGTTAGAACAGTCATGTTGAGTCACCTTCCATATGATCAAAGTTGAACTTGTTCTTTGTTGTTTTTTTTTTTTTCCAGTGTACCTTGTGGTCAGTCATAACATGACACCTAATCAGCTGTTTCCTCCTTTTTTGCAGTGTTATCAACACAATGCTGGTGACATGTGCTGTTTGCTGCTACCTGTTGTAAGTATAAATAATGTATTGCCTCTTAATCAAGGCACAATTCTGATGTAGCCAAAAGTTCCTTTTTATTATCCTCAAAACATTCAGGAAGTAGCTTTTCAAGTGTGCCAGGGGTTTAGACACACGGTATTTTTTGACAGCTCTTAAAATTCTTAGTTCTTAAGACTTCTAACAAGCTGAAGAAAATATTTTTCCAGTTGGAAGATACTGAATTAAAACAAAACTGAATTCCTTTTGTTGTCCTCTGACACATAACTGTGAAATAGCACTCTGTGATGACATTACTCCTTTCCAGTTCACTGTGTTACTCTCTCAAGTATGATGGCAGTCTGTCAATTCTAGAATTTTTCTGATTCACAGTAGAGCAATGACTTTTTGGCCTTCTCATTCTTTACATTTATTTCTAATGTGATACTAAATTAAGCCTACTGATGAATTTTGCTTTACATAGTTTGGTTTAATATATTCCTGAAATCTGTTAGAGGAGTGGGTTGAAAAACTTATATGTGGGGGGGTTTTATATATGACAGATAATTTTTGTGACAGACTTGTGATGCTTTGATATATTAAGGCTTTCTGTTAAAATGCACAGTATATTTTGAGGCTACCTCCTTTTTGTAAGAGAATTAATAGAAATAACAAAATTATTTGTTGAGAAACTCCTCATGTTGTGTTTTGTCAAGAGGTAAGCCAGCTGTAGCTGGAGTCTGCAAGAGAAAACATGCTTATTGTTTTCTTTGTTCTCTCTTTTTTTATGTTTTTTAAGACTGTAGAGGCTGATCTTGTCAAAAAAAAGTGCTGTGCAGAAATAACTTTGAAATAATTTTTTATGGAGAGTAAGTTGGTAAAAGTCTGGTTAGATCTTTAGCGTTAACTTGTAATAAAGTAATTATTCAGAGTTCCACCTGAATCTGAGCAGTATTTGTACTTTCCTGAAGTATTTAAGCATTATTTATGCTACTCAAAGGAGCTCAATAGGAATATTTAGAGACATGTATCTCCAATCTTAAGACTCGTTCTTAAGAATGGGCAGCCAAAAGCCATATTATCAGTGTCAGCATGTCCCTGAAGAGGCCTCTTTGGTTCCACGTTGGGTTGGCCTGTGGCACAGGCTTATGCAGGTTTAATTTAGTTTAATAATGTGATATTCAGGTTTTATACAGGTGAAGCCTATTTTTTTTTTTTTTTAATTCAGAGTGTTTGGCACATAATGTCTTAAGAAATCGTTCTTCTGGACAATTGTTTGCTATACTCGGCAAACTTGGTTCTGTGTTTTGTATCTATGACAGTTTTGTAAAGTTTGGTGAGCAGATGTAGAAACTTGAGCTTTGTAGGGCCAGCAACTTGAATTTGGGATTGAAATTTGGGAATCTCAGTACTATGAAGGCCTCCTTGCCTGCACATAAAGTACGTAGCAGCCTAATCTTGTGATAAGTCCCCAGTGCTTGACTAAGAAAGAGCAGCTGGATGCTCATTTTTACTAGGTTACTGCGTTTATGTTACAATAACTTTGGGAGGGATTGGGTTTTGGTTTTGTTTAAGTTTAAAGTTCTCACTTAATTTCTTCCTATTCTGTATTTTAACAGAAATAATGTCCTACTCTTCTAAAATCCTTGAAGCTTAGGGTTTGTTTTCTTTATTGTTTGAAGAAGGACAGTTTCCTTGAAGTTGAGGCTGTGTGGTATCTACAGAATCCTCAGGATTATGATGTGGAGTGTATTTGTTGTAGAATGTCTTAACTTTGACTGAATGCTGTGAAATCTTCGAATGTACAGTGCTATTTCACTTGTACGTTCAGTGATTTTTGTGCCAAAACAGACCTATTATAAATCCAGTGTCATTAACATGATTTATAATCTGTTCTTGCATGTCCAGTGAGGGGGCTCTTTTATAATCTTGTGGGCTTTAACTTCTTTTCTGTATTTCCTTTGGCTTTCTCCAGTTACGCCTTGAAAAAAAGAGAAGCAGCAAAATCTCTCTACACTTTAAACCATCAGTAGTTTTACCCAACCACATAAATTACATACATAGTGTCAGTTTGCCAGAATACAACAAAAAGCAGATTTTCTTCTCATGTTCCAAGATAGAACTTGCCTCATCACATGGTCTCTGTTTTTTCCCCCTCAAATTCTGTGTAAAATCATAGAGCAGCCATGGTTGGAAAGGACCTTGAAAGATCATGTAGTCCAACTTTTCTTTCCTCTGTTTTATTCAAATGTACGTAAGTTTGTTCTTTCCATATCCTTTTCCTTTTGGGGGAAGCACTGAAAAAATTTCAGACCTTAATTTCAGTGTTAATTTTTAACAGACTAATTTTTTATACCAGTCTTGAAGGAAGCCTGAAAGAATGATTTCAGAGGATTCTTTGTTGGATATGTTAGAATTAAAATAACTCGTGTTGTCCCAGGTATGGTCTTCTGTATTTGTGTGTCCTTAGTAGGTGGCTGGCGCAGTTACCTACCTCTTTGTAGAGTTGTTTAGAACTCTGCTAGACCTACTTTCACGCTCTTTGAGTTACTTTTCCAGTTGAAAATAGGGGAAAAAACAACTTCCTGACTTGATTAAACACCACTTGATTGACAAACTGATTTTCACGACACTGAATTTGTGCTAACTAATTTTGAAGTTGATCACATTTCAATTTAAAGCTGTTTAGATTTAACAGTGATCATTTTGAATAACCATATTCATAACATGGTTTTAATTTGGTTGTTCAATGGAAAATTTCTGCATGGGTAAGTGCATAACTTGTGTACAGATATTGTACCCAGCAGCCTGTTGAAGGACAATACGTGAGCCTCAGGAGCCTGATAAAATATAAGGCAAAGTATAAGGAGTTAGTGCTGCAGAAATTATAGGTTACCCCATCTTGTAAGGTACTGTCAAAATCTAAATGTATTTTGCTGCTTACAAAGCAGATCCTGAAACAGCACCTTGATATTCTACTAACAGAGGACAGGGTGCTTGGAACATGGTAGTATTTGCTACTGATTCTGAAAGGATTAAAATATGGTTGCCCAAAGTGACATTTAAACAGAGATAGCAGGACCTTAATTTGTAATATGCAGCATAGACAGATGGCAGTTATGGTAGAAGGACCTTTTAAAAAAATCTCTCTAGTAGAACATAAGGGACTTTAATTTCCTTGTCTGAGCCTGGTAATTAACACTAACTGTTGTAAGTGGTATCTGGTAGAATTTAAGGACCTGTGGGTGGCTTGAATGCAATACCTGATTTTAGCAACTCTAGAACATTACATGTTAGATACAGAAGCTTTGTTTTACTTCAAATGCCGTGTTTTGTTTTGCCATGTCATGATAGGTTATTGTATAAAGCACCATCGCTTAAGCAACATGGGGAAAGCTTTTGCATGACTTACGATGAATGCAAGGGAGTCACGGAGTTCAGTGCCTAACTACTGCTTTAAATTATTAGGCCCTAGCAGAGCAGGGAGGAGGAATATACTATTGACCTGCAGTGCCACTGTGGCTTGGAGCTTGGATATCCAGCATGGTCCCAACAAACAGCTTTTGAAAACTGCACAGTGCTTGCCTAAAGCATGGTTATACAGCTGGGACACGTCGATATTTTGAATGTGCTTCCAGCTCATTTAATTCACAGCCATGCTGGGTCTGAACTCAGGAAGCACAGAGAGGTGAGATATTTGTGCATAGAGTTCCTTCCTTCTGTACAGTGAGAAAGAATTATGTGCTTTAACAGACTTTTAGTGTTCCTACCCTCCTCCCACTTCTTTTAGTTCAGGATGCTAAAGGCAGATGGTACAGTGCTCTGGCACCCCTTCGATCTGTCTTTTGTATCTGAAAATTAACCCTTGCAAAATAGAATGCTATGGTATTTTTAAGGGCTAATTTGCTTTTCCCTTAAGTAAATTTAATGTAATGATTAACATGGTTTCAGAATACATTCTTGTCATCACTTTGGATGACAAAGTAGAGACATGTCAGCCAGAAGGTTATTGGCTCTTCTCGGTGGTGTCTTGCTGATGTTTTAATTGCTTTGTGGAGCCTGCTACCTATTTCAAGGAGTGCATGACTGATAGACTGCTCCAGGCTCAGCATGTCGTTTTAGCTAGAGTCCCATTTTGTGCAAAACTGAAAGCAGCATTGAAAATAAATATTTGTAAATTTTAAGAGGATTGATGTGTTTTCTTCAAGTCTGGCCCACATCTTTTGCCCCTGGCTGTTCTAGCCATTTTACAGCTGCCCTGCACTTCGTTCGCTGGTCCAAGCATCAAGGTTTGTGTGGAATTTTCCATGACTGCCTAAGCACTCTGATACATTTGTGGCAGCTCCCATTACAAAGCTGCTCTGCTTTTTCTCCTCCTTACAAAGCATTCTAGAAATAGCAGACAGATGAGCCAGTGTGTTCACTAAATGTGTTTATATAGTTAGTATTTAACATAGATTTAAATCCATGGAAGCATCCCTCTCTTTTTCTGAATCTTTTAATATTTACAAAGCAAATATATCTTTTTAACAGCAGAATATTTATTTCTGTTTAGTTTTCCTGGATATTTTCCACAAACTACATTCCTCTTGTTCTTAGTTCTGGCTATGGCTTCAGCTTTGTTAGTTCGTGAACTGCTCTGATGACGAGGCTGCTGTTGCTGATGATCTGAAGTTTGTGGTCATACTGGTTTTGTTGTTGTGGGTTTTTAAATTTGTGTGTGTGTTCCTGTAGCATGGTACCCTTGTGCTTCAGGTTCCTGTTGATCTCTGTGACAGGTTTAAATTCACTTATGTTCAATCTCTGATGAAAAATATACCATGTCTTCAAGGGTAGGTTGTCATACTCTGAACATCAGACCAAATGTGACAGGGTATGTTTCTCAGAGCCTTTTGTTTAAAGGATGCTTCAAAGACACTAAGAAAAGGTCTGTCTCATGTTTCTATCTTCTGAGCCCACAAATGCCTGAGTTTCATATGTCTCAAAACACTTTCCTGTCAAAGGAAAAGTATGAAAGAAAGGCTGTTTTGGTGGTTTTCTGTTGCTTTAAATTGAACAGGACAATTAATTGTTTCAGTTGCAGAATGATTCGGTACCAGATCTTCATTGCTGATACCTGGTCTTTGTGTATGAGCTTGAGTAAAATTTTGATTTGATACTAGACCTTCCTGAAAATCATCTCTTCTTCTCTGGTAGTCCTTTGGACAAGACTTTCCATTATCATAAGCTTTGTAATTTGGCTGATGTTCTCTCTTTTGGGTTGGGGGGGTTGTCTTGCAGTTGGCTGATTGCGATTCTGGCTCAACTCAACCCTCTCTTTGGGCCGCAGTTAAGCAATGAAACAATCTGGTATCTTAAATATCACTGGCCTTAAGGATATCTGTCCTCTGCTGCAATTTATTGACTAGGTGAGTATGATCATATTTATTAATATATTTGTTATGTTAAAGTTTCAGGAGTAATTGAAACAGTGTAAGCAGTGTGTTCAGAATTGCTAGCTGTTCTGCAGGAGAAATCTATCTTTCTGTAGGCTGCAACAAAACATATTTTGGATGTTAATCTTGACTGGATACCATGAAAAGCTTGGACTGAGTTCTTGTACAGTTATTTTTCTCTGCTTCATGTCATGTGGTGCTGTGTTCAGTAAGCAGAGGTTTGTAAGGAGAACAGTACATTTCTTCCTCCTTAAAAAAAAAAAAAAAATCAGGCTGGTCTGCCTTTAATTGCTGGGATAAGTGGATTTCCTAATCTTTAACAATTGTTAAACCTCTCTTCAAGCCTGCTACCATTTATCCAAGACGTGTCCTGATTTCCAAGGCAATGTACATTTGCCCTCATTCATCTGGAAAGAGTGAGAACTGCAATTGAAATGGTTCTTTATCTCCTGTCAATGTATAGCACTAACACTGAGCTTACAGGTGAATGTTTTATTTTTTTCTTAATGATCGCCTGTGTGCAGCTGTAATCATAGATGAGCTTGGTGGTTGCTATCTGGGTAGTGCAATTGGAATGCTGTTGTTGCAGTTCTAGGATGTGCTTTCTGATACAACCACATACAACTTAAGTACAAAGTCTTGTACTGAAAGTACCACAGTGACTTCAAGTTTCTCTAGAATGGCAGCGTTTGGAGTTGAAGGTTCAAGTGAAAGATAGCTGTGGAAAGAAGTACCCATGACTTTAGTTTTTATGCTGGTAACTGAATAATTAGACACGCTTATTTTTTTCACCCGGGTTCTTTGTTCTTTTAGGTTTAGCTGCCTACCCCCTTGCTGTTATTACCTTTAACTTGTGTTTACACAAGTCCAGTAGCAGCAGACAGATGACAGTTGATGTTATTGCTCAGTTAAATGCTGTCTGTAAAGCACCCTGAACATTTACCCTGAAGCAAAGCTCCACTGCTTCAAAGTAGGCTTCATCTGAACTGTGGTGTTGTCACTGTGGTGTGTGTATGTGTCTGTATCTTCTCTTTTTAAGCAGCAAGCAGAAGCGAAAGGTAGATTTGGCCCTGCTTCAAGTAGAAGCCTGTAATTAGCTAAGTCAGTCAAGCTGAATTTTCTACGCACATTTTCACTGTTCATGCATTAACACATAATTAGTTAGCTAAAACACACCAGTGTGTTCTGGTAATGGCCATACAGATCCCTGAATCCCACAGGATGATTCACTTGCCTGAGATCTGAAACTGAAATGTAGTTATCTGGACAAGTTGATGGCTTTGATATAAAAATGGGGCTTTCTTCTGACTGCTAAATGATCTCTGTTGCAACCAGCAAGGACAAACCGGAGATTAGATAAAACTCTTGGACTCTAGGTGCTTGCTAAAAGAATAAGGGCTTTCCACCTCCCTTTCAGTAAAGGATTTTCTAGAGAACTGGAGGTAAATTTGTACCAAGGAAGAGAGTGAACTAATGTGTTCTAGGATGGCCAGAAAATTTGTGATGAGCTGTCATTTTAAACTTCTTAATGGAGAATTTAAGACCCATATAGTGTATGCCGTTGTGTTATATGAAGCAGTTTATTTTAACCATTGATATATTTGATTTCATTGACTTAGTTTTGGAATAGAATTAAGGTTCTTGTCTTTGAAAAAGAATGCTTTAAAAAAGTGAAAGCCTATAATCTCGAATATCATAGTTAAATATTATGTTCTTTCTTGCTGGAAATGTGCTATTACAGGACTTACTGTTCTCCATGATTTTGTTTGAATTGTAGTGTTGAGTGAGGTGAATGACAAGGAGATGGCTACCTTGATCAGGCTGCAGTGTCCTGTCTTTTGCTGTCATGTGCCTCTGCACTGAGAGCCTCCTGTTGAGTTTCTCACTAGACAGGAGCTGTGAATTAGATTCCATGTGAAAGAGTTGGGATATATCTCTGACACTGCACAGAATCCCATAGATACAGCTACCATTTCTTCTTTGACCAGTTTTTTTTGGCTTTTAAGATGTGCTTTTTCAGCATTCAAGGTGCATGTACTATACTTTTTTCTCCCATTCCTCTTTCAGTTGAGGTTTGGATGGATTAGTACAGACAGTGCAGAGTTAAAGCAAAGAGAATGATGTATTCCCAGAGTGGAGAGATATTATTTAAAAATGAGGATAGTCTAAGCAAATTCATTTTACTTGATTAATGGAGCACGCTGAAAATGCACACCAAAGGTTACTGCATTCTAGTGAGGAGCTTCTACAGATGCTGACTTGATTGATCTGTGCAAATTACAGAAGTTTGGTCTGTCTTTTGGGTCAGTATCCCTCTAGTTCAAGTGATGATGATGATGATGATGATGTATCAGATGACTTGTCTATATAATCAAGTTAATGACATAGATGACGGTATGTAAGAACATGCAGACTTCTGTAGCTGTGGTAAATATGGGCTGTAGCTTCTTTTAAGCAATGTGATCTAATGCCACCTCTTTAAATTTGTCAATTTATCTTCGTGCAAGTGCAAGAATCCAGATGACTGGATAATGTCACATCATTGAAAACTATCCAGTAAAATAGTTGTTCTACCAGCTTACAATGTAACTAAAACTACTTGCAGTAACTTCAGAAATTGAACTGCTAAGAAAGCAAGGATTTATTCTTGAAACTGCATATAGATTAATTATCTGTAGTTTCTGATCATTTCTCAATGCATTTCTGGAATGGAAATAGTTGTGGTTAACAACCAGGTCTTCCATTAGTAAATTGTTTTCAATTAAAGGAATAATTAAGTTGCCTCTTGCCTTGCAGGTAAAGAAGAGATTTCCTCCAGATGAAAAACTCCACTGACCCAAAGATGCCCTTAATGTAGTTGGTTGGATACCAAGCCTGCATTAATGCCTTAACCTTTCTATTGTGCTTCAAATGGCTTGTTCGAAGCCCTGTATTTTTTCCTACTACATGATTCAACAGTTTGCCTAATGCAGTTTATAATCTTCTTCAGTACTGTAAATTTTTGTTTGTTAACTTCAGATGTGATGAAAATTTCTGAAGTTTTTATGGGTCATAGAGTCAGTTTTCCTGTTCATGTTACTCCATAGAAACACTGTATATATATTACAGGTCTTAGGTTGTCTGTTGCTGTGCTGTTCACCCCTGTTCTGTTTGACTGCACTTGAAAGAAAAATGTGTGCAATGAAACTGTCTGAGGAGATGAAAAAACGTGGTGCCACATGTTGGTGGCATTTATTTTTTAAGATTACTTGTAATCTAGGGAAATTTGGTCTTAAATTTCTTCTGCCTGGAAATAAAACGTATCCTCTGCTTTATACAAAATGCTCTCGTGCCATATTTAACTGTTATGACATGCCTTTCTGTAACTTTAATCGGACAATGGTTGGCCAGAGGAATTGAGCTGAGGAAACATAGATGACGTGGATAAACTGTAATAAAGTCATATAGTGTGTGAAGACCTCTCAGGTAGTTCTAAAATAGGAGTAAGTTTGCAATCTGAAATTACTGAAAGGTCTGCAGGAAGAAGTGAATGCTTAGCTTGAGAGCCTCTTCTTGGTGAGCTCTCTGATACTAGGGGGACTCAGTAGCTGAGATAACATGGCTAGTCTGAATTAAGCATAAATAGTAATTTTGGTAGGAGATTGGTTTACTCTGTGGCCTTTTTGGAGGATACATGTAGTAACAATCAATTTGAATTCAACAGGAAGTGTAGTGGTTGTTTTATACTGACTTTTGATACTTGCAGAGCTGATAAAACACATGACAGTGTAGGCCAGAGATGAAAGATTGCTGAGGCTTCTCGATGTCAGCTGAGTCTGTGGGGTTGGAAATGAATCTAGTAAGTCATTTGCTGAAGAGTAACTTCAGAGGATATAAATATTGCTGGGTGCACGGGATTCTTCATGTATACTTTCTTACTTGCTTACATCATGTCCAGATAAATTGCGATTATTCCTCACTGTGTTTTATTGTTACTGTTTATTGTGTTTATGCACGAGGACATAATGGAGTGGTTAATTTTCTTCCTTGTTCCTTTTGGATAGCACTGTTAACTTGTTCAGTAAGATAGTACTCATTGCTATACAGGAACTGTGAGATCCTGTCAAAATGGTATAACTTGCAGACGGCATGAATTGCAAAAGAAATAACATGTCCATTATTACAAATAAGCATGGTGACTGTTGTGACTGGAATAGTGGATTTTTTTCACCTACTACTGGGAGCTGTATTTTAACATGCAAGAAGCTGTACACCATATAATTTGTGGCAAATAATTCCTAAGAAAATGAGAAACCAAATAATCTTATAAAAGATTAGGTTGTTGTTTGGTTGAGTTTTTTTAAAGTGTGTGGAGGATAATATATGTTGACATTGAGAAGTTGTCAAGACAAGGAATGCTTCAAGACATCATTGGCAATTCTGAATATGTAGCGGTTTTTAAAATATATTGATCTGCCTGACATATTTACCCTAAAGTGAGACATCAAAAAAGAAGACACCCAGTGCCAAACAGCGATACTGGTATATTGGTATTATCACTTTCTTTAACAGGCTTTCTATTTTAAGCTATCACTCATTGTAGAAGAGAAGTAAAACAGAGTTCACGTGACGTGTTTCACTGTTGGTGAATTGAATGTAAAGAGCTATTCAAAGCCTGGGCAAACAAGCCACAGTTCAATTTTTATTTAGGTGCTTTACAGAGAAAGAAATTTCTCCTATCCAAATGGTGAAACAGATGCCAGGTAGCATGATTGAAGAAGTTGAAAAAATAATGTTTTGTTTCTGTTCTGCTGAATGTTGTGTGACCTACTGTCTGCATCGTGATTATGGAATGGCCTGCTCCATGTGTGCCAGGAATTAACACTGCTTCAGATAATTTATTTTTTTTGCATGACTGCAGGAAATTAGAGCAGACAGTTTCAGCCCCTGGTCTTTAACAAACAATGCAAGTATCAAAGCCTTAGTTTCCTCTTTGTTTTGTAACAACAGAAGAGGACACAAAATGTTCAAGTCTATATGAAGGAGGTTTGCTGGTCCTTGAAATAGAGAGGTGGCCTGGGTCTGCTCTCTGTGTATGGATGTTTTGGGGTAAAGTAACAAGTGAAGAAGATTAAGGAAACTGACTCCATAGTCAGGTCTTGAAGATTTTTAAGTCATAAACATTGGTGGCATGTAGAGCAAGTGTTTGGGTCGGCGTTGTTTCAGATGCTTCTAACTTCTTCTGTTCGCATTGTTTAGGAATTTCAAATATCTGCATCTATGCCCCTCCAAGGAAATTGTTCTGAAGAGTTTATGGAAGTTTACTTCTCCTCTACTGGAAATCATGGAAGCATTTTCCTCATGTCAAGTGCTTTAAGTTGGTTGTTGGAGGTGGATGGCTGGTCCCTTGTTTCCGGAATCATATGTTACAAAGTCTCTGGGACAAAAAAAAAGGGTGTTTTTTGTATTGTGGGGCATGATAGGGTTTAGGTCCAATGGAAAGAAGTTTTGTTACCACGGAGGAGTGAAATGCAAAAAGTCATCTAAATGATAGAAGAAATAATCATCTTTACAAATAGTAAGATAAGAATGCCTGGGTGGTTTTTTAAATTTTCTTAAGTAATTTCTCCAGTTGTCTGAAGCGATGGAGGCCAAGCGCCCGTCCCTGGAGGGTGCCCGGGGGCGCCGCTGCCGCGGGCAGGAGGTGAAGGGACGAGCCCCGCGGGGGGGCCGCCCTCGGCAGGGCGGGGCCGCCGGCCGGCCTTAAATA